TTCACTAAATTCTACATTCTTTATACAGTTTCAGTTTAGCAAAATAAAATGGTGAATGAATATTTCCTGAGTAGTCACATGAGTAACTGAGTACTCACTGAGTAACAATACTCAGAAATTGTTAGTAGTACCAATATGAGTACTCATGGACGAATTATGAGTAAAGTCGTACTCATCGTATGAGTACTTTCACTAGGGTAACAAAAGGCTTCAGAAAATTTTCAATATAATACTTGTGACCTATGGTCCTGCCTTTATCTACCTACACTCAGGACTATTCAATTTAAAGAATATACGAAACAAAATTTTGGTTCAAATCTGTCTCCATCAACAATAGTCTTTGATGCTTCATCTTCAATAAGCCAGTTAGCATAGCAGATGACTTATGACTAACCTATCTAAAGTAAATCTATATCCCATCACTAGTACTGCTAGAACGCAGCTGACATGATCTAACAAAATTTCGCTAAATTGTTAAAACAAATGAAATACGATTAGGTCATGCGGTTTCCAACGTAGCTAAAATATTTTTAGAAAAAGAGTTCAAAAAAACTTTTAATAAATTGTTAGAAAGAAATCCACTCGCTATAAATAATCATAACAACTATTGTAAACATTTGATAAAATAAAATTAAAAATATCTCCTTATCTTCATATTTTCTTTTAACGATGCACGAACTTTTGATCAGACCTAAGCAAATGGAACAAAATCAGAAAATAAACAAGGACAATGGACCAGAGCTGGAACCGAACCAGACCCGATTAAACTTTTCAATCAACCGGTTTTTACCATTTTTTATCTAGTTACCTTTGGAAAATTTTTTATTATTTTGCTTCTTTTCAAATCACTTTTTCAACAAAGGGAAAAAGAAATTTCTTTTATTATGGTAGCAACGATTTTTTCGCGATTCCGTTATCGGGCAAAATAACTTAAGCAAAGAGCTCATGTGATTTTCTTTTTTCGTGTAGATTTTAAAAGCATAAACAAAACAGACTTTTACTGTCACTTAATAATGCCTACAATTTTAAGAAGGATTTCAAGGAAAATTGAGCTATGCATTTAACGAGTAATGAGCCATATGCGTGTATTTATGAACACAGTAATTAGTTACGATTTATTTATTATATTTTTCTTTATTTCTTTATTTCTTTACTTCTTTACACGAAACAGTATCTTTTTTGTTCTCAGGTGATTCAGCACGGTCCGTAAGCAGCCGTAAAATCGATTTACGACGCCGTAATCCTATGCTCCGTAATACTGTCGCCCTAAACGAGCGTATTATGGCCATAAACGGTCTCGTAGAAGGTTGTTTACGGCGGCAGTGTTATGAAGGATAGGATTACGGACAAATTACGTCAAGTTACGGCGTGTTACATTACAGTACACGGTTGTAATTCATCATATATGGCCATCGTAACCAATGACCGAGGTTCGCGTTGTGAAAGTGTGCATAGGAGTGTCTATGTTCTATACTCTTTGTTCTCATTGTCATGTTTTAACATCAAAGGCATCTCCATCCGATAAAATAGAACCAAGTGAACAGAAATATAATCAGTTGGACTGTATATCTGATAGTCCTGACGAAAAAGAAGCCGAAGATAATGTGCTAAAGAGAACGATTAGTTAGCTTTTTCTTCGTCGGCACTGTCACATAGTCCATATATCGTGCAACTAATTATATATTTGTTCACTTTGTTCTATTTTGTCTAACGAGTCACTGTCTTATTTGTTCATTGTCGACAAGTATATTTTCATCTCTTGAACGGGATCGGCTCTGTTTCTTTTTTATTCTATACATTGTATAGATGATAGTCAGACCTTTCTAGAATGACATAAAATTCTGTATATAAGCTAGAGAGAATGTACATGTTAGGTAATTTCAACGTTTCACACCGTCTTTTAATAAAAATGTCTATCACTACTTGTTCTGCTGCTACTACTGCTACTTCTTCGTCTTCGGATTCTCTCGTTGGTACTGCTGAAAAACTTTTCTACAACGAGCTCAATGAAGTTTTGAATTCATTGAATAGCAAATTTCGTGAAAAAGCTGTCATCAAAAAAGAACTTTATGATAATATTTTAAAAGCATTAATCTTGGAAAAAGGTAAGAGTTTAGCTACTATAAGTTCTCAGTTCATATTTTGGGCTAAAAAGAATTTTGTGTTGGTTAAATATGCTGGTGTCGATTTGATTTGTTGTTCAAAAACGAAAAAGCCTATCTGTGTTTTTGAAAGTCTGTACAATATTCTGCCTGAAAACATATCTCATGGTGACAGAGATAAAATGTTGAGAGAGCTGCTGTCTAACTATTTGTGGACCCCACGCAAATCGATCGAAATATTCTTGAAACACTGTGTGCAATGTCAAGTCAGAAAACCAATCAAGCAGCATGTTGTGTCCAAACCTATTGTTTCTCTAGGAGTTATGACTCGCTTATAAATTGATTTGATTGATATGAGAACAAGACCGGATGTCGTATCGAGTGACACAGTGTCTTTGTGGATATTGAATTGTATCGATCGTTTTTCGAAGTTTTCATGGGCTTTTCCTTTCTTAAACAAGTCGGCAAATGAAGTTGTTCTACGTTTGAAAGGATTGTTCTACGTTTTCGGACCGCCGCGTTTACTACATTCAGACAATGGAAGAGAGTTTGTTGCTAGTGTAATTGATGGATTGAAAGTTTTATTTCCATCTATGTGTTTCGTTCGAGGACGACGTCGTCATCCACAATCTCAAGGATGTGTTGAAAGAGCGAATGGTGTGTTGACCGGAGCGTTAGGAAAATCGATGGCGGCCGAAGATTCAGTTCATTGGTCTGAGGGCTTACTACCGGTTGTATATGGAATCAATACAAGAGTATCTTCTGTAACTAAAAGTACTCCGTACGAAGTTCTTTTTGGTCAAAAGCCGCGTTCAGATGTGGAATTTTGGCGAGTAGTTAAAAAGAACAATATTTTAGACGAAGACGATTTGCCGGGTAATGTAGAGGAAATTTATGAAACTCCAGATGAGAAAGCCACTTTAGACCTGCTTGATTTGGACGATGAATTAGATACTCCTGATGTTAATGATGCAAATGAAAAAGATACTTCTATCTCTGCTGGTCCGGTTAATGTTGACACCACTGCTTCTCTTGCTATGTTGCTCACTTCTTCGGTCACTGATCTCGATGATTGCACAACACTTGTTAATCTTATTACTTTAGATTCTCCTAAATCTCCTTCAAGACCTATTCAAGATCTTTTCGTTGTTGTTGATGTTCCAGACACTGATATGAAAACCACGCAAACTTATGATCTTCTCAATGAGTTGATAGCACTTTGTGACTCTGTCGAAACAACTTCACAAATGACTCTTTCAACTCCTTCTGAAGCTTGCAATGTTTCTGTAGCTTCTACAATAAACTCAATTCATTCCTCTTCGCAATTGCCACGTCATGATCTGATAAGAAAGAAGGCAACTGAAAACTATGTTGCTACTGCCAACAAAAAGCGAAAACTTTACGATGATCATTTAACAACTTTAGCTGAAAGTCTGAAACTTGGTGATTGTGTCCGTATAAAAATTCACGAGGTTGATCGTACTAATACAGATCCAAAAATCTTACCATGTTTGATTGTTTGGAAAGAGAAAAATGTTTTTAAAATAGTTTGTCAGTTCGGCAAACTCGATCAAGGTTTTGGAGTTGAAAGTCTAATCCCTATGCAAGCAGCTTGTCCAGTTGAATTAAAGAGTCTGAAATTAGATGAATTGAAAGATATTAGTTTAATAGAAGCTAGTAAACTCTTCGTTAGAGGTTCAGTTAATGGAGCGACGTGTGATTGTAAAAGTTTATGTGCCACTAAACACTGTCCCTGTAAGAAAGCCAATGTCAAATGTTCTACGAAATGTCATTCAAAAAAAGGTGATTGTAAAAATAAAGAGTAGTTGATTCGATTTTCCATAATTTGATTTTCTGTAGTATACAATATTTCAATCAGTCTGACAATTGTACATAGTGCGATATGCCGTGCTGCCCAAAAAATAATTAAAATAATTAAAGAGATCTCGTGCGGACGCTTGAAACTTAATATTTATATTTGAATTTGCTATTGATCTGCTGTACCTAAATATTGGCATGTTCAGTTTTAACTTTTGTACAGTTCCACCTGTTGGATGAGTTCGAGTTTGCCGTTCTCTGATTCTCTTCGGCAGTATTATCTGGATTTGTGAAATTCTATTTAGGGGACAAAAATTTATAAAAACAAAAAAAAAAAGAAGTAAGTCCCAAAGTCCCGTGTATGTGACGGTACTATCTATTCGTGTTAAATTTATTCGATAGATCTACTTTTCATTGTCATTGAGTTACGGGGAAAATCATCAAAGGGAATAGAAACATATTATTGTTCATTTTATGTTAGGATGTCTTAAACGCACAATGCCAGTTAAGATTAAACTCGACATTACATGAAAATAATGTCGAATTCTAATTTTGCCTACTTATTTTTAGTCATACTTACAATTTCAATTTTGTCTAGAGATCTTTCAG